GTGGCAGTTCGGTGCAGACACACGTTTTAGTGTCGCTATCCACTTGCAGCACCTAAAATCACATCAGTCTGTAATGCAGTCATAATGGACGAGAACTTATTTGATGTTGCTGAAAATCACTTTTATTCAATTTCTTGATGCCGTTATTTCACTGTTGTGGTCATTCGTACCAGCAATTTTTCCATTCTCCTCAATTTTGTACCTCTCTCAACTACATAATTCCATACTACTGTTTAGGTAGATTTTTTACTATGCCTGGTAGCATTTCCAGTACTCTCTGAATACAGCATTAAAAAAAAACTGCCTTTTTATTCGTTTTTGCATCTACGAAACGCAGGAAACGCACACTGACGAGGAGTTTTCTCTGTGTGTGTGTGTGTGTTCGTCTGCACCGATTTTTCATCTTGAGACCTACAAAAGCTACAGGGGTGAAAGTTGGGGAACTTAATCTACATACAAGTACGGCCCCAAATCCCTAAACTGAGCGCTCCTACCCGCGTAGTATCCAGGTACAGGTCTGCCAAAGCCTTTGATGGATAAGCTGCTAACTGGAGAACCAGAAAAGCTAGAAAGCTGAAATTTTAAGGAGTGTTCCCCGCCCACGCAGGCCTTAATGAGTTCAAATCCAGTCCCGGGTATGCGTGATTCCCACTTCCAGACATGGAAGAATTTTTTTCCGAGTAATTTGCTAACTTGAGAACCAGAAAAGCTAGAAGGCTGTAACTTTAAGATGAAGTTCCTAGCCACGTAGGTCTTAATGAGTCAAACCCAGTCCCCGAAATGCGTGATACCCATAAAAGTTTTTTACAGATAAGTCGCTAACTCGGGAAACTGAAAAGCTAGAAGACTGAAATTTTAAAGGGATGCCCCCCCCCCCGTCCAATTAGGTGTTAATAAGCTCAAACACAGACACGGGGTGTGCATGGTACCCACGGACGGACTTGTGAAGGTTTTTTACGGGTAAATCGCTAACTCGGAAACCAAGGAAGTCAGAAGGCTGAAAATTTAAGATGGTATTTCCTAACAGTCCTGGCGGTCAGTCTTAACTCGTTTAGCCAAAAGCATCTGCTGGAAAGAACAGTGCCCTCAGCGACAAAACCTGCGGCGAACTGTGCAAAAAACGCATCTTCACACCGACAGTCGGTGCGCTGGCCATTTATTTTTCAACTGTTGTCTGTCATTTTCGTCATACGTCAAGCCCAGCTTTTTGTCCTGACGTACGTGATCGAAACGGTGCTAAGAAAACAAGAAAAAAACATACAACAACAGGCCATTTGACAATGCGACCGCTGCGAGCTCGATTAATCCAAGCCAGATCGCCCTTGCCAAGACTGTCCAACTTTTCATTTATCTCTGTTTCCAAGTCCTTCACAACCTCCGAAAATTTTTGTTTCTTTTTGAATTCAGGCGATGACGATTTCTCCAAACGCCGTTTCCCTCGGCGTTTTCCTGAAACATTCATCTCCACACTCCATCAACACTGTCTTTAGCACTTATTTTTTTATTTCTGATCAGCTTCTATCAGTCTCCTTATGAACCAAAACCACAACTCTCCTGTTCATAATATAAATCAACAAACAACCAAGCCTCTTGAGCTAGTGTTAACATATTGAAACGGTATAAATATTTGAACTATTTGTAAAAAGTAATTCATACAAGACTTTCTCAACTTCATACAAGACTTTCTCAACTTTTTTAAAACTTAAATACGCAAACGAAGTCACTTTTTACGGTGTCTGCCTGAATTTCGTGGTCTTTGGAAGCTCCTACGTAAGAAATTTATGGCAAATTTATTCAGTTGTGTGGCGACCGTTATAAGACAAGTAGAAGAAGAGTTAACAGATAGACTGAAGGATCCTACAAGCAAAGAAAGTAGTGCATCTAACACACAAGCAGCATACAGACACTACGATCATCAACAAATTAGCTTTCGGATGCCTCTTTCGCAGAAAACACAGAACGATTGCCAGCAGTTGCTTATGACTAGAAGGCCTGTTACAATGAAACGAGAACTGAGAAACGTATTTTAGATGAAAAGCACTTAATTTGTAGCAATAAAGATGATACCATTGCCCTTACCTTCGCCTTTTTTCAATGTAGTAAGCAGGTCAACATCATCGTCCTCATCACCCGATTCTAATTCCTCTTCCAGTCCACCCAAGCCCCTGGTTTTTGCCAGCTGTCTGTCGCCATCACTTGCAACTTCAACCTTCGAATCACCATAGTCCTCTTCTGTGTCCGATTCCTCCACATTGCTTACTTTTTCTCGCCGTTTGAAATACTTCAGCACACTTTGCAGTGCCAGTCGTAATTCATAATTCCGCTCCTGAATTGTTATTAATCAAATTACCAAATTATACAGGCAAACAGTCATAATCTGTTGTTCTCCACAAGCTCATTCTGACCCAGAAAGCCCAAATGAAGGCTGTATTTTAAGCATCTGCATTTCTTCTCGCAGTAACGACTCAGGTAACTTCTGGTCAGTAAGGTACTTCGTCGAAGCCTAGGACAGACAACGTTCAAAACGAATTAGTAGCGCTCAACATACATCAAGGATGTCTTAAAACGCCTTAATTCAGAAAAATAAATACTGAATCGCCGGCAAACTGATCACTGAGCAATGCAGTACTGGTCAAATCAACTGGAAAACTTGTAGACCGCATAGTGTAAAACTACACATGAATCGACAAATGTTCCAAACATTTCAGCTAATCCAGCCACAATCAAACAGCAACTAGAACATGGTATCATAGGAAAAGTCCGTCACCAGATCCGAAAATTTCACTGAATTTGATACTACGACGTGTGATTCACAACTGTCGAAATGTCAGATGATACTCTGTTAACTTTTTTTGATGGCTTTAACTTAGTAAATTCATTAACAGCAGCCCAACTGCAGTATATGGATATCCAAAAATAAAATCTGTTTCACAGTGATTTGGTTCAGCCTGAAATTTTCCCTGCAACTCGTGAATTTCCGGATTCTAATACATTATAATGAGAGTTAACTAGAACTATTTTCGAGTTTTATGTAGTAAAAAATCAAAAGCAAAAAACCCTCTCCGCATTCGCTCCCCGTGAGGGATGGAGACTTAAGTGGTAGCAAATGCCAACAGCAACCATACACTGTCAAGGCTGCCAATGACTTCTTTCGGCAGTTGTTACAAACAAATTGATGGCGAATTTGTCTTCCCCGCACATGCCAAGACCAATTTTACCATCGAAACGAATGAACAATACAAGGACTGAATGTCCCAGTAGCAGCGCCAAACCTTTGGCCTACTAGACGACAACAGTGTTATCTCACTGTATGTGAGTCGGTTGGCCAGCTTATCACTGATTTTAGATGAATGTTTCTCCCCTAAAATCACGAATTAGCAGAATATCAAAAAGCACAGTTCTTGGACAAGAGTAAACAAAGACTGAAAAGTAAAGAACCCTTTTGATCGCGGCTTCGAGGTTTTTGCCACTAAGATCGAATCTGTGACATGCGCTTAACGGGTAGCGCTCCGGCTTGCAATTCAGCTTCAGTGGAAACGCGTCTACCATTGCAAATTTCTTCTTCAGCTCACGAATCTGCAGTCAGTGAGAGGTTACCCTGGCAGAAAACTTGCACACCGTCAAATGTCTAAGCCAAATTTTACCTGTTCGCTGTGGAAAATGGCGCTATTCTAAAGTAGCCTGAATGATGGCATGCGCCAACAGCAACCACCTGCCGACAAAGTTATCGATGGTTCCCTCTTGTGAGGACTGTATATAAGCAAACTGATGGGAGCTTTGACTTCTTGGCAAGTGTCACTG